ATTTGCTTGATCAGTTGGAGGCTGGTGAGTATATGAACGACATAGATTTTGAAAATCTTGGAAATTCTATCTGCCCGTCTACAAGAAGAACCGCTTCTCAAGCTGACCGAGAGCTATGTAAAAAAACCTCGAACGTTACAATGTTTTAAAAGAAAAAAGAAGTCGCCCCAAACGACTCTTTAAAACAACACGAACAGGAACTGGAGTGCACTATTATAATAGCCGATCAGAGCTTATCGACCGCCTTCACCTTTCCTGCATTTCTGTAGAGGCTGGTAATGACTCTCGTGAGTTGAAAAACGATATTGAAGCGATTTTAACAAAACTGCTTGACGAAAGTGCGCACATGAAGATGAAACCGCACGGGGTAAAGTTCGCACATGAAGATCGCACGGGGTAAAGTTCGTACATGACGAAAGTGCGCACGGGGTAAAGTTCGCACATGAAGATGAAACCGCAAGACGTGATCCACCCTTTGTGCTCTTAGTAAATATTCCCACATCTAAATCTGAGATTACTACTAAAGGTGACCTTGTAGTTTCCTTTGACACAAATAACAGCATGGGCCCTATTCTTGGGTTTGCTGTTGGTGGAGATGATATTACTAGAGGAAAGACTTTAAGTCAGAATCGAATTAACATTACAGATGTACAGAAGATCCATATTCACTGCTCCCTTGTTAATTCAAGTATAGTAAACGGGAATCCTAGTGATGTTAATAAATCGTTTACTCCAAATCGAGGACCAGGACGTTTTTTGGAAATAAGTCCTAGTCCAACGACCTACTTACCACTCATAAAAACTAGCCTTATTATTAAAGTGAGAATGAAAATCACTGATCAGTCAGGAAATAAGATTGATTTAAATGGGGAGCAAGTAACTTACACTTTAAACATTCGTCCAAAAATGTGATCATACACGCTCATAAGCGGATTCCGTATCAGAAGCTGTTGCCATAATGGCTTATTTTCTATATATAATATACTAGGCAAAATGATACTTCCTATGATTAGACGTGGTATAGTTCGTCGAAAAATTGTCGTGGGGTCATTGATTGGAAACCTCGTGGGCCTTGCTGGTAAAGCAAAGTGTGCGCTATTCAGTGTAGGGAAGTCTGAAGCTACAGCCTTAGGATTTCGCGTTTGTAAGTTAGCTCCAAAAATTAAGAATATGGCCGTGGCGGCTGGTAAAAAATCAATTCGTTACACGGTTACAGCAGCCAAAGAGGCTTTTATATCGACTGCAAAAGAGAAGTTCTCGCCTGAAAACGTAAGCAGTCTTGTTTCCCATCTCGCCCGCGGAGACGTTAAAGGAGTGGCAAGAAAAGCTAAATCACGTGCATTTGCAGTGGCTCGTGCTGGGCCTGAAGCTGGTATAAGTACTGCAAAAACGCGCACAAAAAGTGCTCGCACTGCTTTTTAACGAAAGAAGCTAGATCTAAACTTAATGAGCTGGTTGGGACTTCTGAAGCTAGAAAAGCTCTAGTATCGCGCGCTGAAAGCCTTGCTAAGCAACAGCTGACTTCTCGAGACTTATGTACTCTAAGCAACCTCGTGTCAGGTAACGGCATGATATATGCTTAAATATCACATCAGACTAAATATCACATCAGACTAAATATCAGGAATAATGATTAAACTACATCGGTCTGATGATCGGCAAACGCAAAGTTTTTATAATATATATACTGTACGAACTACAAACTATCATAACAATGGCTACGGACATGATATTCCCAGCACTTCGACTCTTTAACGAGCCCATCGTTGACTGCTCTGTTGAGCGTCTGCAGTACAAAAGAGTTCTTCCCCGCGATCAAAATTTCGATAATAAGAATATCAATATTGACACTGAGAACGTTGACCAGCTTATATGGCTTCACAGAGCCGTTCTTAAAGTTCGAGGTCGTGTGGTAAAGAACGATGGCACCAATTATGATGCCGCCGACAATGTCGCTCTGGCAAATGGTGGCTGGAGCCTGTTTGAGACGGTCCAGATCCAGGTTAACAACAAGACCGTTAAAGAAGTAAGTCAGTATGCTTCAACTGTCAACACGATCATGCAGTTTGTAACTGATTCGGATGATTCGTCCAGGAGCACCGCCACGAGTGCTTTCTGGCACCGCGACACTGAAGGAACCAGTCGGGCTGTTTCTAATAGGCATGTAAACAGATCTAACGCTCAGTCGCCGCCAGCTCTGCGCGGGCGCCAAAGACGTTACCATAATGCTTCCCCTCGCTGACATCCTAGGCTTCGCCAAAGACATTGATTCAGCTTTCATAGGTATAAAGTTCAATCTGAATCTCACTCGCGCTTCTGCTGAAAACTCGCTTCATAGAGCAAATGGGGTAGATGCTGGAAAATTTCAGATAAAACATCTTTCGCTCTGGGTTCCTTTCATCAGACTTTCGATCGAAGTTCAAACCATGATAAAAAGCAAGTTGGTTGCTGGTTACACACGCATGCTATACTTTGAGCAAGGTCATATTTACCGAGAGAGATTCACCAGAGGTCAAACCACCTTCTTATGGTGTGTGACGACAAACGGAAGTGAAGAGCTACCAACACACATCTTTGTAGCGTTCCAAGATGCAGAGTGCTCATAAAATCAAGAACAAACTATACATATGTTTGATAATGCTAATTTGCGTCAGATTCATGTGCGGATGAATAAGAATCACAAGTATCCTGAAGAAGAGGTTGAAGTCAATACACAGCTGCTGAAAGAAATTACAGCAGAGCTTACATGATATTCCAAGACGTTGTGATGAAATACAGCGACCCGGATACAGGCTCTCAAGTAAAATTAGGAGACTTCGCAAACCTCTTTCCTATTTACCACTTTGACGTTAGTCTTCATCCTGAAGCTTTGAAAAGCTCCGGCAAACGTTAATGTTCGTTGGATCTAAGGTGGCCCTTTTAATAGTGCTATCAATGCTGGTGGTGAACAGGCGTACCACGTGTACTGCTTCGTGCTTAGCGAGCGTTTCCTTCGGCTCAATGCGATTAACGATAAAGTGGACAAAATGGTTTAGTCTGTTAGTCTGATGTGATGATTATTCTGATGTGATATGCTACGTTTAATCCGATTACTTTGCACCAGAATTAATTAGAAATTGAAAAAAATAAAAATTTTTCGACTGTTTATATACGCAAATTGTTTTGCATGTGCACAAAAATGTCGGACATTGATAACGCAATATTGGTTAAAGCTCTCAGACACGCCATGGAGCGAGTAATCACTCAGGAGTTTAAAGGCGCTGGTATTTATCTTCCTGGGTCAAGAAGTATAGAAGGTGGTAGCTTTATTGGAAATCTTGTTGGAAAACTGAATACCTACGCTCATTAAACTCATACCAAAAGTGTTACCGTTTCTAGGCCTAGCAGCTATATCAGGTGCTATCCCCGGAGCACGCAAAAGCAGTTGCTGGTAGTGGTATAGTTAGAAGAAGAGGTATCACACCATTTAATGGACCTGAGTATAATAAAAGTCTTCTTGATTTCGGTAGTAGCTCTTGTAAGAAAGTTCGTTCTGGATACACAGTTCACGGTATTAAACTTTCAAAAGATCAGAAAACTACCTTGGCAAAAGCAGTTAGAGACAAAAGAGGAGTAACTTTGCGAATTGCCAATAGCGCTCTTGAAGGTCCTGATATGCTTATGCTTACTAATACACAGATCAAGCGAATAATGGGTGCAAGATCCAAAGGATCTGGAATCGATCTAAAATTGTCTAAGAGTCAGATTACAGCCATGACGCGCGCGCAAAAAGGTGGATTCCTTGGTTCTTTGCTTACAGGTGTAGCTGCTTCCATCGTAGCGCCCGTCCTAGGAAAAACCCTTCGATTAGGAACGTCGGGGGAAGGAGTATTCCTTCCCGGGACGCAGTGACGGGGGTGAGGAAGTGGAAGGCGCTATCAAACAAAGATATCAATCGTATAGTAAATGGTAATCTAAAAGCAGTAGCTAAAGGTTTTAGGAGGGTGTTTTCAAAAGACATGCTTCCTAAAGAGCCTCTTTAAGCTGAAGAAAGTGTTATAATCAACTTACAAGACTTTCTCGATGGAGGCAGGACTCACTGGATTTGCGGCTTTGCTGATTAGTTCTGCGTAGATTACTTTGACAGCTTCGGCCTTCCACCATCTGACGTAGTTAAAAGTGAATGGAACGGTCAAAACTTGTTGTTTGCTATTCTTGTAACGAGATACAAGTTCGGCGCTCCATTATGTGTATTGTAAAACGGTTTGCTAGAGAAACTGTAAGAGCGCGCTAATAATTAACATCGCGATGCATTTTTCACATCAGACTAAATTTTTGTGCATTATATAGAGCTGGCCATCGCTTACTGTTTGTACTGTAAGGAACAACAACTTGTTGTCAAAGGAAAAATCGAATGTACAAAAAACCAACCTAGGCTCACGGGGCGCTACCGAGTCTGTGACAGAGGCGTCTCCTAGTTTCTTTCTAAAAGTGAACTTCTGGATAAAAAAGGAGGAAGAATAAGAGGTTTGAGTAGTGCGCTTCCATTCGGTATTAATACTATTCATTTGGCAATCAAAGCCGCGGATAAAATTGATAAAATCAGAAAAGCTTGGTGAACATAACACATCAAACTAAAACATAGTCAAGTGAAAATGACGGTCGCGTTTTGTATGCGTTGCAAAAGACTGCAACCAATTATAAATGGTATAATTGTAAATCATAACGGCAACCCCAGACTTGCAAGGCACTGGGGTGTATGTGGTAGTGCTGTTTCTACGTTTCTTTCCCAAAGAATCTCGTCGTAATGGAGGAAAAACCATCGTTTCTACGGACGGAAGCGTTGAAGAACGCCTTGCAGAGGCGCACTACAGTCATGCGGGGTAGTGGCGCGGCATTACTGCTATCCCAAAGCTGGCAAAAGAAGCTGGCATTGGCGAAGATGAGGCTTATGCGTTCATCTCATCATCAGTAGGCTCGGCGGGCCTGCGCTTGCGTGGTTTTGGGATAGGCATGCGCTTTCACGGTTTTGGGATAGGCGGAGTGACATTTTTTGGTGTGGGTGTCGGGTCAGCGGGCGGTTGAAGAGCCTTAAGAGAGGCGTTCAGCGCTTGTCCGCTGATTACACCTTGGTCATATAGTTGCAGAAGTTTCTCGGCAGTATTCATCTCAAGTGTCCCAAATTTTAGTAATATATCTTACGCGAGATAATTCTCTAAATTGAAATTAATTCGGCGAGTACTCTAGCAAATCTCTTTCTTGCTTGTTTCTGTTTATAAACGAGCTTATGATGCACCCTATCGGCACCGCAGGCTTGATAAAGGTTAGTTTCTGCCTGTGTTCCGACGCCACACTTACGACATGGTTGGGGAAGTCGCCCGCCTTCCCTTAATCGCTTCATAGGAAGTCCACAGTATTCACCTATGGAGCTTCGCCCACATGTGGTGAGCTTTCCGGGTAGAAACCACGCACACTTGTTCTTGCCCTGCCTCACGGGTGTCGAACGTTTGGATTACTCTATGAGAGTATATTTCTCTAAATAATAGACCCCGACGGCCGGTCGCGCAGGCGCAGGGTGGTGGGCCGGACGTCTTTGGCTCCTGCCGTTGTCCTGGGTTTGACCTTCGCTGTAATTATGCTAGCATAATTACAAGAAGTACGTAAGCGAGCTAGGGCTGGGGCGCTTAGATTTGTGTATACTCCTTCTCTAACTGTGAGGTGCGCTAGAAACGACGCTTTCTCAAGATGAAGTGCGCCAGCGGCAACGCTCTGTATACTACTGTAACAGCAAAACTGGACTCCGAACAGCAATCGAGTTACGTTTTGTAGGATAATCGGATTACATTAGGCAAATCTAAACGGCATAATAATACGATGATTTATAAAATCTGTCGCTTAAATGCGAATTTCGAATACGTCAACAAGTGCATTTCTTGTGTTTTTTTTTAGTGTTTTTGGTTAAAAAATAGACTAAATAAACTGAATAAACTAAGAAAATATATGTTTAATGTCTGAATTTCAAGATTTTTTTCGAATTCTGACCGTTTCCAGTGCCACATTGGATACCCCATGGATCCGCCCTTGTATAATACGTATTTACCGACTGGGAGGTCCGTATATGGAAAAAATATTTTCACAAGGTCTGCAACTTAATGTTGAGGCTAAAATTGGATGCTTTTCAGCAAAATTCGCTTTGTCTGGATAGTAAAATGGATTCTTGTAACGACATCTTTCATCTGAAAACACCTTGCTTAATCGTTAAACAATTTACATCGCTTTCAAATCAATTTTATAAAATTTGCATTTCTTTTCGTAAACAGGTATGTTGCAAAAAAATATAATTTGTGCTTAATGGCAGATATGCGTAAAAAGCTGCCCGCTCACGCAGCCAATCAAATTGCTGGAAATCAAAAAATATCGCTTTGGACAGCTAAATCAAAATAAATCTATATTATTTACCGGAGCCTTTAAGACCTTGTGAAAATATTTTTTCCGTGAAGACCGACCTAAACGGTAAATAACATATTTTTTTAATTTTATTATAAAGTAATTTGCGTTGTAAAATAGCCGACACAGCTTGACATTGAAAAAAAATTGGATTTTTTCTTACAAATTTTACTTCTTAAGTACAGTAAAATACACTCTTGCTATGACAACTTTCATCTGAATACACTGTGCTTTATCGCTGAGCAATTTACATCGCTTTTAAATCAATTTTAGAAATTTAAATTTCACTTTATAACCAACTTATTGCTAAAAATATCACTTTTGGCTCATAATTTAGGTATCGTAAAAAAATGCCCGCTGCTGCAGGCAATTAGATTGCGAGAAATCAAAAAATATCGCTTCGTTTGCATAAATGAAAAAACGAATTGAAATATTTTCGTGAAATTTGGTAAAAATAAGGCTCTTAATTTCATACATGAACATCGTAAGTTCACTTTTGTATAACCTTTTCCTATTTTTTGTCCGTATAATAACGTTCGGTATATGCCACACTACGACTTTGAAAAAATATACAAAGAAAAATTTTACGATGAACTTTAGAACTTCAACATGCTTCATTTGCCGATAAAATGTAGCCATCTACCTTAGATAGACTAGTTAAATTCTTCGCTTTGGTCTTTTGTCTATATTTTGCAGGAATCTCTCTTATAGGTTTTGATAGTAAAACATTTGTCATAGAGCATTTATAAATCTTACAATAGAAAATAATCGTCGAACAAAAATCCCATGTACGTTTTCTACAATCGTAATCGCCTGGGATATTATAGCATGGGTAACAAAGGCGAAAAATAGAATACTTGTATTCGTTGGTATCAAATGCCTGTTTTTTAAAGGCTTACCCCTATCCACACACACAGAATGAAGTTTCAAAATCCCCCCGCAAATTTTCATGGCGTAGCTATAATTTGAAATATTTTGGCAAAAAAGCATGCCATTGTTGAATACATTAATTTGCCATTACTTTATAGGAGCGTGATTTCTGTGTTGCAATCATTGAGTATGAGTGTGATTGAAGTTTTAGAATACGGGCAAAATTCAGTAAATTCACACAAAAATACTCATTCATCATATATCATTCACTATTTGTATCATATATGAAACAAATCACCCTGTAAACATCAAAAATGTTGAGACTACTATTACAAAAAAATTTTTAGAATCACTTGACCAACATTTTTTTAAGTCAGGGTCAGGCAGACTTTATAAAGGTTTTGCAAATTCCACTGACGGGTAGCTAATGTAATCAAAACTAATATTACTATGGACAATGTTGTTTCCTTTACATTGATTTCAAACTGATTGCCTACTCGATGGTACTCTATAAACTAAAAGATTTTTTATATTAAACGGAAATCTCAGGGAGGTAGTAGATCAGAGATGATCTCCCCCACAGATGATTTTTGTGAGAAATTTTAAAGTTATAAGGAAATATAACAACAACTAATTGTTCTTAAATTCAGGGGAAAATGCTGCAACAAGAGTAATTCAATTGAAAATTCAATACTAAACCTACTATATCTCCAATCTAATTTCTTTTTATGTGCTTGCTGTTGTCATTGTTGATTAAGTGATAAACTTTATTTAAAAAAATTAATTAGCCTTTTCAGCAATAGCTACATGAAAAATACCAATTGCACTTTTGCACTAAACATAATTTTTTGACCATATGTGTTAACTCAAATGACAGATGACATTTTAAACCAACAACCTAAGAATATTATAAACAATGACGTGGCCTTTAGTTAAGAAATAAAAGTTGTTTAATCTATTTGCACAGGCTTATGCCATCCCAGAGGAGACCTTGGGAAGTTAGAGCTTGAGAGCTGATCGAGAATTTGAAAGTTCTCACAAAACGTCTCTAAGGTTTGCATAAGCCAGTGCAAACACATAAACATCATTTATTTATTTTATAAAGCAACAATAAATTGAAACAGACAAATTGAAAACAGACGTTTTAACTTTACCCCTAAAATGAATTTATGATTGATTTGCAATTTGATTGATTTGATTGGTTGAAATTCATATCTGTTTTGCACAGACTATAGAAAACACAGCTATTGACCAATCAGAACCACATTTCACTGTCTTTACTTATAAATTGAATTCTAATTAAGTGAATGCCAACTTTATGTTGGTTTCACATAAAATGCTAACTTTAAACAAGCTTAAGTCAGTTTTAATGTAACATAAACCACTAGTTGTTATCTATTTAGCTTTTAATTCACTTAATCAGCAGAGACTTTCGAGAAACGCCCTTCTTGAGTTAGCTAATAATTTGTGCATTTGAACACAAGACCTTGTCAAGCATTTCCCATATTTTAATAATTCAAGCAGTTTTCAAAGAATTTTCATGAAGTCACGTAAGCTTGCAACATAAGTTAAAAGATCTAGAAAGACCAACTTACTGATACATTTCTTTTTGGATTTGTCAAGTTTGTATCCAATGGAGCATTGGCATTCGTAGGATCCTGGGATATTTATGCATGAGTGATCTTTGCCACAAGGAGAAGACTGACATTCGCCGATATCTAATGTTTCACAATAAAGTTGTTTTAAAATGTGTACCATAAATTAATCAACTTTATGTCTAATTTAAAAATGTGTAATAATTATATATGAATTTTTTTGTTTAATTTTTTACGTTTGAATATTTCTTAATTGATTTTACGAAAATGTAAAAACATAATTGTCCTAAAATTTTAATACGTGTATTTGATATGAACAAATCAACAACTAAAACGTCAAGTAAATTCTGTAACAAATGAGAGTATCGTGAGATCTGTGATTTTTGGGACTGTATGTATTAGTAATTTATTTGTAAATCCAACACAACTTTTTAGATTCGTTTAGACAAATATTTTTGTAAATCATACAGACTACGTTCGATTTTTGACAACAAGAATGAGTCTATTAACAGAATACATTAATTAACGATCATTTACTGTACACGATAGAAGATTGCTCACCAAGGGCTACAAGCAGAACCACACATAAAGAAAGTTAAATCTGATAGTGGGATTGATAAGGTGGCATTTATGATATAAATCAAACCTAGTTCTTACATAGCTAATAGGACTATGAATTATGAAGTGTGACGTGTACCCACGACGGTTGCTATTTTGAATTATTTTCATCATTAATAAAAAAACGAAAAACAACTTAGCCATTTAAAGCAATGAGATTAGCTTTGGAAAAATTCACACAACAGGGGCATATTAATTATCTCATCCTGTCGTTGCAAGTTTCGGAAATTTTGAGTTTGTTAATTCAAGATGTTGGACTATCTTTGCAAAAGAAAATGCATCGACTAACAAAATTATATGAAATTAAAGCATATCATCTATACCAAACAAGTTCGACGGTTTACCCGCAATAAATCCTTTGAAAAATTTTTTACAAGAAATGGAAAAATCATATTTGATCCAAGAATGTCGTCATAGATATGCATATCTTGGTAAAAAAAGCAGCGGTATTTGGAGACGTTGCATCTTGCCGTAAAATATTAAAAAATTATTATTCAATCAAGCCTTATTCATAGTTCCATCAAGCAGTGTTTATTTTCAAATTTATTGTTTTCTAAGTAAATAAACCCAGAAAAAGCAACCAAACAAGACTAAATACAAGCAGTTTGGCTACGACCAGGTCCAATATTAGTACGTTGATTGAGGGTGTTAAATATTCATATATGTGCGAATATTCATGTTTTGTGACCTAATGTGCTCAGCAGTAGGACGTGACGGACAAAGAAATTATGTAAATAGGAATGGCTAAGAAGGTATGGCATTTTCATTATTGCCTAAAAGCAGGTCTTTTGAATTTATATAAGGTTGGGGAAGCTTTATCTAAGGTTCCGTTTTTGACACATTTACTCGGGCAAAGACTATTATTAAACATAACTCTTAATTATTTTTGATATTTAAGTGACCATTCCCTGCATACCAGTTCTTTATTGAATTGACATCTTTAAGTATGAACTAAGATATACTTGCAATTTTTCAGATTGGCCAAATTTGGTACCACATTAATTTTAGTTGAATATGTTAAACTATTTTTGGCGATAAGAGAATTATTTGTCTTTACCCATTAACATTTCACCTTGGGCCATTGATTGAATTACTCTTAGTTGCACAAAAAGTTCAGAATTCGCTTTTAGTGCTCAACAGTCTACTACATAGTCGAATGAGTTATTTAGTTCTAACATTTGTTTGGCAGGAAAACAATAACTAAAGAATGCAACCATTTTACTACAAAATAGTACATTTGTGTAAAGTACTTCATGTATTGATAATTATAGAAGCTACTCACAGTTTAAATTTCGTCTCTCACGTTGACAGATGAAGTTAAAGTGACGCCCACATCTAACAAAATTCCACTTGTAAAATTTATATACAACGCATTTCTCTATGCGAAATATTTGGCAACTAGGTCCTCCAGGATAACATAATGTAAAACTGGGCTTGCCATTTTGAGCTGTGTGGAACTGATTGTCGCTTTCTTTGCGATACAAACCAATAAAATGACGTTTATTGCCTTTTCTTAAGATGATTCTGTAAATGGCATTCTTCTCAGCATTATTCTTTGGAACAGCAAGATCTCCTCCCTTCTGTTGACAAAGCTTTCTTGCTTTTTTCCATGTTGCTGCTTTTGTACTGAAGAAATAACAAGATGATTCTATATGCAACCAATCAGAAGGACAGCTTGCTAGACGGATGAAAAAATAAATAAGACAACAATAACAAGTAATTATTTTCAGAATGATTTGTACGAATAGAATAGAATATTTAATATGCACTTTTTAACTGTAAAAGCTGATTAAAAATGCTTAAACAGGCAGGATTGTGCTTTGCAGACAGATGTTGTTTAAAACAAGTCTTTCATTACGAAAGGGTTTTTAAGAATGAGGAGGGTCTTTGAGCTGGTTTTGTAGAGTAGCACAAGTTGCAGAGCAAAGTATAATAAAATACAATTTTAAAAAAAATTGTATAGAAATTGTAAATGAAATAAAAGAAGTTGATTGTGAAGCTTATGTAGTCCGGCTAACACTTGACATTTTAATCATAAGGAGAAACCTTTGTGATTAAATGGATGGTTATAATAATCGTTAAGTGTTGATGTGGATTTGTTATGTATTTATATCGTGCATAATCAACTGTCTGCTTTAGACTAAAATCTAATTCATTCCATAATGTTTTAATGGAGAAAGAAATACTAAAATAAGGAAATCAGAACATCAAAAATGTGCATGAACTTGAGGTAAGCTGTCAAATATAGCTCATTTTTACGCCCATTTCAAATAATATTCCTAATTTTCCAGATTAAAGTCAATTTCATTGTAATGTGTGCTTACATGAAATTTTTTTTATGTCTGAATAAAAAATTCCAGTCTAATTCCAATAGCCTTAAATTGAATAGTAAGAAAGTCATTTGAAATTTTATTAAACCCAGTAGAAATTTAATGCCATCTACTGAGAAACGTTATTACACCTTATTTACATGCATTTTTTGACCTTATTTATTGTACCTCTTAAAAATATTGCTTATTTAGGTTTTTAAAGGAAGTGAATTCTTAATAGTAAAACCTAATTTTCTTACATCGAAAGCTAACAAGATATGTATGAATGAATATTATCAGTGCATACCACCCATACTAAGCGGCGGATGACTAATTGCGCAGCCTGTAAGCTTCAAAAAATTTGTGGGACTTTAAGTGATATAACTTTCTCCCAAAAATCTCAGTCTTTTGAGGACTTTTCCGTTTCTTATGCTCCTTTGCCTTTGCTTCAGTTTTGTTACTCATAGTGTAAACATTATAGAATAAATTTAAATTTCGAACGAGATAAACTCACTACTTTATGAGTTCTATAAATAGAGCATTATAATAGTATATCGCACAGTTTCCAACAGGATATATTATAGAAATTTTGAACATTTATCTCATCTAGAATGGCAAAGAGTAAAAACTATGTTTAAAGAGAACAGGACTTTTAAAAACGCGGGAATGTAAGCTTCAGCCCACATAGCATACTGAGTAATCGGACAACGGTCATAGTTGTCTGTTCATGGAATAAGTTCATAAAGCTACAATCCATTGGTTGATGACATTGGATGCAATATTATTTAGGTGCACACATTCTAGGAGGTCTGGAAGCATGTCTGTCAAAATGCTTTTTAAAGTTTGTATTTACAGAATTCTTAGTTTACGAAAGCCAACCAATAATAAACTCAAGACTATCTAATATGGTGTATCTAGGTTAGCAGGGCCATAGCTAGATTACTAACTTCAGGAGGAGTGTTAAACCTAACCTTAACCTTTACCCTAACCCTAACCCTACACCCTCCTTAATGTAGAGAAAATCAAAATGTGTTATTGCTAACATATGCTATTGTCATTTAGAGAACCATACACTTTCAATGTAGTGTGCTGAGGAAGTTTTAAGTGTATTGAAGCTTTTCATACTTCTAATTTATTACTGATTTCCTGCTTGATATTATTGATAATAATGAATTTGTATGTTTGGCTGTGAGCCTTATTTTGTGGTTACATGTAAAATGTAGATGCAGCGAATTCCTTGCACAGAAGCAACAGCACAGAGAACATCTTAGGATTATCAACAAAGAACAAAGTTTTAAAACTGCACAGAGATGCTCTTTATTCCTGATCGGTGATAAAAAATCTTGATAAAGACAGTAATATATCCATACCGTGGCACGAGTTACATTCTCCAAAGTATCCTTCCATACACGTGCAGTTCAATGTTCCATTAATTTTACGATAGTATGTGTTGGGTCCACACAAAGGAAAGTGAAAAGTGCTTGTCGCTATATCGATCAATAAAATTAAAAATAAAATCAACCAGGGATTTTAAACGAAACATATTCTTCCTCAAAGAACACAATTTGTCACTCAGTATGCACGTTCACGTACCCAGAAAGCAAGTTTGTTATGCAATGTTGGTATTTTTGGTGTTACGCATTTCGTAAAAACAAAACAATTAAATAAATGTTGAAAATTTACAGAGTATGAACAAATTTGCTGGCTGCTTGGGACACTATAAAGGATATACTAAAGAAGTTAGATAATTGAAAAATGTTCAGAAAATTATCAATTCATCAGTAGTTCTCACAAAATGTGTCAAAGCTCAAGTATTTTGGCATGGCTTTGCCTTGTTTATTTAAAATAAAATAAATAAAACATTAATCTCGAAAGCCATGAGATTACTTCGTAATCGCCTCAATTTGAACAGCATGCACAAAGAAAATGAAAAGTTTCAAATTTAGTTTAATCCAAAAATGTAAAAGTTTAAACTCTGTTTTGCAATATACTGAAATTTTAAGAAATTTGATAAACTTAAGCTCACTGCACAATTTGGACGTTTTTGTCTTACAATCTATTTTCATGATTTTTTTTTATTTAAGACTGATTTCAAGCCCAAGTGATTGTTTAAATGATGTAAGAAACAATAAAGACTTAAATTTAACACCCAAGAAGTTTGATAAGAATAGACAAACGGCAAAAATGTCCAAATTAGACACTTTTCACTTTGAACTTAATGTTTTCAAATCTATAATTATGGAAGGAAGAACAACCGTTTACTAAGGTAATGTAACTTTGAACTTTATAACGTCTTTCTATTTTCTGAACATTAGCGTGGGAGTTTTTGCAGGTCTTAGATTATTATGTCAAATTAGTAAATATTTAACTACCGTTTGAGTCAGGAGTGATACTGTGTACAGCCACATCAAAATAATCGTTGTTAACAGGAAGAAAATATTTGCGTCTCGTACGTTGATCTGTTGTGTTATGGACACTAACGACACTTTGTCCAACACTAGTCATGATACAAATAAAATCCCCAAATACTGCCATGGGACCTCCTGATGTTCCAAAATCAATTACATTATGGGAGTAGTAATCACAAGAAAAAACATTTCCGTTTGAAACTCGCCAATAAATCTTCTCTTTAGCCATGTCAAGCGTTAGATCAAGTGCTATTGACTGAAGTGAAACTGAAAAACTATGATGTTTATTTGCAGCCATGCTCCATAACCATAAGAAAAGTTCTGTACTTTCTGCCAAGAATAGATACCTTAATAAAAATATTTGTTTTGTACATTAGTTTTCTCTATACGTACTGAAATACATAAACAATTGTCAGGCTAATATATGCAAGAAAGGAAAGATAGAATACTTTTTTAGTTAAGACAAAGATGTTGTCTAAGTATTCAGAACTACCTTCATATATAGACGGTTTAATGGAACATATTCATGAAATTTGATAATATAGCAATATAAAGCTATTGTAACTAATAGGAAAAGATCACCTTTATCATTTGAAATCTCTCTTTTAAAATCTGAACTAAAATATATGAAGTAATTAAACATTGCATGTGGTTCAGAACATACTAATAAATGTAATACGTTATTTTATTCACATAACTTCTATAATGATTGGTATTGTTTGAGATTATTGTCGGAATGAGTAATGCTGTAGTTTGGAGTGGCTGCTGAATGAATTGTGTTGGTAACTAATAATGCTGAAAATTATCAGATGCGTGGAATTTTTGTTCGAATTGAAAATTCGGTGTTGGTAAATGTTATGCACCATTTCATGTAGATATAAAATTAAGAAAGCTTTGTCATTTCAATTTTAAGCTTTCTTAATTTTTCAGTTTCATCTTGCATGAAAATTAGCAGCTCCTTGGATGTATCATTGTCCACAAATGTCTTTAAAAGAACTATAGCTTCAAAAACATTGTCTTTTGTTGATACTTTTTTTGCAAAAACTGCTTGAACACTATGGCCTTTACTTCATCGAAAATGTTTCATGCAACTGGCAGTTTTGATTATCATCGCAGCATATTTGCATTCTCCAATACATTTCTTAAATATATTACGCATTTGAGTAACAGCAAAGTCCATGTGTTCTTGTCGTTCATTGCTACTTGCCCCGAACTCTTTAAAAACTTCCTCGTATATATTACAGTTCTTTTGGCTTTTTGTGTTCGTGAAACTTAATTTTTTCTTGTAATATGATAACAATTAATGCCTAACATAAAGTTTTAATTAGAGCTATAGAAATAGACCAAAAGCTGTAAAATTGAATTTATACTGACATTTCGTCCTTACTCAAGACATATTCAGGAAAGTAATAATTTATAATGAGATTTTAAGACAAGATATTGTATTTGCAAAAGGTGTTAAATTACGACTAAAGGAGGCGGTGTCAAATGGATTACATGATAAAGAAGTTGGGAAGTAAGATTTAGTGAAGTTAAGAGAGGTTAAGTGGAATGGAACCTCCTTGCACGAAGAGTGAAGGCTTGTATTTATTGATTAGAAGGCTCTCATGAATGGAGAGTTCATAGGAATCGTTAGAAGAGGAAATTATTTTAAAGTCGTAAATTATTTATAACATATTCAGAAAGTTCTCGCTCCACAAGGCTTTTAAGCCAATTTCTTTTTAATCACATGATTATTATCTTCAGATTCATCATCAGTGGAGCAACTACAGACCTAACGTTTGCCTAAGCTACACTAAGAAACACTGCATGAACTAAAGGTAGTGGAATTACTTTCCATTCAGGTGATTTGATTGGATGTGTGATTGGATTTATTAAAGGGAAGTGTGCAGCCACTTAATTTGCAGCTCTCGACTTTTCAATATGCTCTGCTATTCAATTAGTTAAAAAGGCTTGAAAACTATAAACTTGATATATTGATTATGTTTTTAAATTGCCACATTTTGAAAACTAAAATCCATTTTATATTTTTCATGTAACTACGTTGGAATGTGTGTTCTTTTTATCTTCATTACAAAACGAAAAGTTGAGGTTTTTTACGTTCACCACATTCGTGAATATTTTAAAACTTTATTGCCATTCCGTATTGAGATTGTTGCACATCTCTTACACTGCCTCAAAAAAGTATACAAAAGAGCACAGTATAGCAACAAACAATGCTCCCAATTTGTTGAAATCTTTTGTGTAGGGCATATCTTATTAAGCATATGATTACCATGGAGGCGTCAAGCAAATTGCATTTTCTGTCATAGAAAAGCGCTCTTAGGTGGCCAGCCTAAACAATTAATAGAATTAAATGTACAACACTAAGTTGCACAGTGAAGTTGTACTACTTTTTTGTAGGTTGTGGAAAGGGAAGGTTCTGTGAGTATTTGACTAAAATTTTTATTTGCAAAGTAATTATTTCATATTTTGTTTCAGTTTCTAACGCTCTGTTTTATTTCATTTAATGACTTCATCATATATAAACATTGATTCCTCCGTTGTTACCTTTTTTTTCAAAGCTCTTTGGTTGGTTGCTCAACCTAAATATCGCTGTCGATATTTGAAATTTCAGGATCTGCATGTTATTTTCTACTGCATGCGTGCTGAATAATCACACGAAACGTGTTCATTATTGCAGTTGGTTTGAAATGCCTTATAGTCACGCAATAAAATTTTGCTGGCCAAATCTCTCCGAAAGACGTTCATTTTAATAAAAATCTGTCGAACTATATGACGTTTGTTTCTTTATAGCCAACAAATTACTTAATTAACTGAAGATATGATCTTCGCACTTTTCTGGAGAATTTAAGCAATTGTCTCATGAACCTGAAAAATTCAGGTGACATAACGGGATTCGAACCAATGACCTCTGCGGTCACTCATAGCTCAGTTGGTCAGAGCACTGCACCGGCATCGAAGATGTCATGGGTTCGAATCCCGTTGAGTCACCTGAATTTTTCAGGTTCATGAGACAATTGTTTAAATTGTCCAGCAAAGTGCGAAGATCATATCTTCATTTAATTTCAAAATCCGCACCGCATAAAACACTATCATAAAATACTTAATATTCGCTCCCTCGAGAAAAAGCGAGTTTGATTTCCCTGGAAAATCGATTTTTTCTCTATTATTTATACCTTTATATAACAAACCATAATACGGACTTATAAAATTCAACTTTTCTATTAAATTAAAACATCATCTCTAGAAACAAAAACTCTTACCTTACTTAAGAAAACCCTCCAATAGATTGACATAGTTTATTAATTTTACGCTTACAAGTAAATAAAAAGAATTTCAATATCGCCTTACCCATGTTTTGAGTCAAATGCAATGCTGGAAAATTGTAAGCCTGGTTGAAGCCTCATAACACTTGTAATGTTCTTTTCAAATAAATTTGGTAGATAATGTTCGTGGAGTCAATGTAAAAGATACGACGACCAATCCAGTCAACTGTAATATCATGAACAAAACATTTTTCGCAAAATTTCGTTTCTAGTCAAGTCAAGATTTCCCCGTTTGATGTCTTTGTCATCAATGTAGTAAAGCACATTCTCAACTACATCAATTTCTATGTCATTATATCTTGATGCATGGTCAGATTTATTCTTACTGGAGCCATTAATAGTGCTGACATGAATATCTCCAGTAATAGAATCAACAGAGTATATTTTATCAAAGCTCATAATAATCAAATATGGCTTTGGATAAACATCTAAATAAATAATAAAAACTATAAATAACAACGATGAGAGTGGATTAAAAAATGCAAATTTTATAGACTTTACGATCATAATATTTTGTGAAAGACCAGAATAAGTATTTTTGAAAGAATTTTTCACTGTAGAAATATTACTAATAACTGAAATTAGATTGGCTGCACAACTTCTACCTATTTTTGTTGAATATTGTTTTGGTGCTATGAACAAGAAACTGTGAAAATTTGTCAAATCTAGAGATTATACCTTTGTAAAAACACATTTCTGTTTGCATTTGCATCACTTCTTTGTTGTATTCTTTTACTTCCTTGCATGCAGTTGTGTTATCGTCATTGCCATTTTTATCAACGCAAGTTTCCATCCATTCTTTCACGTTGTCTTTTAATGTTTCTAAGCTTGTCTTGCAGATTGATATGTCGTCATTACCATTTACTATTTGGCCTCTAATAGACAGGATTATGAGAGTCCCAAGAAACGCTTTTGTTGAGCTTGATATCATCTTTATTTTCTATTTATTAGAAGGTGGACGATTACTAATTTCTTTAAAGCTTTTGTAGTAAAACATTTACTTTATTTATGAAAGGCTTATCATCAATATAATCATATAATCATTTGTTCTTAAACTTTTTTTGTTATCTAAATCAAGTATGGATTTCTATAATTATGTAACATTTAAACTTCCTTCTCCAAAAAGTATTTTCACGTTTGCTTTCAGATAATTTATGATGATTGGATATTATTGCAATAGATAAGACAAATTGTTCATTATAAAGACTCATGTTTACAACAATTCATATAAGTAGAGTTCACCCGCCTAGAACGTGTTGTGAATAAATAGATGCAAGGTTTCTAGGAAACGAAAGCATAGAAAGAAATAAAACATTTCAACGTCCACTATAAGGAAATGACGCATTATATGAAATTCACCAAGAGCGGTTAAGAAAAAATTTAAAATGGGTTGATATTAAATTTGCTCATGTTAACTCAGTTTACCAGATGAATGGGAAAGACGTATTGCTTAACTAAGCCAGCAAAATTAAATGCCAAATAATCTGTTGCGCAGTGTTTAACAGACTCGCTGGAAATTCTGTAACTATATGTCGTTTACTTACAGAAATGGAGGCCGTTAGACAATACATGATATTCTGCTTTACAGCATCTGTTAGTCGTATAGAGAGAAGTTCGACTCTCATAATTAAATAAATTCTGAATTGAATGAAATTTATGAGTATTTTGACAGAACTGCTAAAGTAAAGAAAATCTAAAAAGCTAAAAAATTCTTACTTCTTCAAATATTTTGTTTTAGACAATTAAAAGGCATTTGCCATTTGTCAAAAATATTCTTGCAATATTGAATAATTGTAGCAAATGAAACAAGAGACGAAAAATGTATCATTTGTTTTACATGTATTCCTTGCTTTTTAAAATGACTTCTGTATTGATGTTTGATGATGATTTGCCCCATTTCAATTTGTTGAATTATGTACCTCTCTATCTTTATCATTCCCCTCAATCCTAAAGCTTAGTTTTAATGCCAATCAAATATTCTTTACCACACATGCATTCAAGTTTTATTTTACTATCATTCTCATGTAAAAACGTAAAACAGTTTGCAAATATTTTATCATTCTTAAATGTTTATGATAGTTAACAAACATTTTTTTGTTATCTCGATTTAGAAAAAAATCCTTAATAATGGTTGCTTCAAATATTTTTGATGTAGCTACTATTTTCTCTGGCGTATCATTGGAAATATGATATAATATATTTCCAGACATTCATAAATATAAATAAGTAGAACTTTATTTTTAGTTGTGATCAATCAATTCGTTTTTGTTTTCATCATAAGGATAAACATAAAATGATAAAAAGATTTGCGAAACGGTAAAAGATTTTTAAAAATTTTAGACTAGTCAAATTACCAAATGGCAGCTATGTATATATGATGAATAGCTGCGCTACTCTAAACTACAGAAAATGTTTAAAAACATACAAAATGTTTCATAATGCTTTAAGTATTTTATAAGATAAAGATTGTGTTAGATTATCTGTTGGATTACGTATAAGCATGACTATGATAAATGAAATGTATGGTCTTGATAAGGAAGTTAAATCCATAAGAGCTATTGTTTTGCATTATGTGATAGGCTCTGAATTTTAGGTTTTCTATTTTTTTGCTTACCATTGAAGAGGCAATTTGGCTATCAATAAAATTTCTCTTTGAATTCTGACGAGTTGTTTTCTATTCTTCTCAAACAGCAGCTTAGAAAAATACAACTGAAGCAGAAATTGTCTCGTCCTAAAGTGCTAGTAATATTGGCTTTTTGAATTTTGATATCAACACAAGACAAGTAATTTTCTGTGGACGGAGACACAAATTTTGATGATTTTTCATCATTTTTGGGATAAAGAGCCATAATTGCGGAAATTTAGTGTAAGAAAAAATATGCGACAAAAATATTGTTTCAACAATTCCAAGAAATATCATTTACATTGAAAATAACAGACCAAATTATTTTAATTCCTTATAACAACACCCCCGGAAAAAATATGTTTACGATGACGTTATTCAAATTGGTCAACTATTTCAAGTGTCTCTATAAACTAAAAGAAAAATGTGCACTGCAGATGTTAGTTTTCGCTCATAGATAAGATACTATAAAGCAAAAAAGGAGTATTGTCTATAAGCAACTTTTGTTAAATTTTGATAGCTCATTATAACATGGTTTACCTACTTTTTACTTAACCTAACATGAAACTTTCTAAAGTATATCAAATTCAAAAAAGGCTAGTTTCTTAGGTGATTATCTTTATACAAAACAGACACATTAGTGGTTGCAGACCCCCTCATTTATATTTTCAGAGCACAATTTTCGACTTAAATTTTTATGATATACATGATATTCTGTTTACAACATCTGTCAGTCGTAAAGAGAAGCTCGACTTTAATAATTATATAAGTTCTGAATTGAATGAAATTTATGAGCATTTCGACAGAATTGCTAATGTAAAAAAAGTCTAAAAAACTAAATAGAGGAATTGAACTTTAAGTATCAAAAAGTTTTAATTCTTCAAATATTTTGTTTCAGATAATTAAAAGGCGTTTTCCAACTGTTTAAAATATTCTTGCAATATTGAATAATTGTAGCAAAAGAAACAAGAGACGAAAAATGTATCATTGTTTTGCATACATTCCTTGCTTTTTAAAATGACTTCTGTATTGATATTTGATGATGATTTGCCCCATTTCAATTTGTTGAATTATGTACCTCTCTTTCATTATCATTTCCCTCAATCATAAGTATTAGTTTTAACGTCCAATCAAATATTATTTACCACACATGGATTCAAGTTTTAGTTTACTATCATTCTCATGTAAAAACGCAAAACACCTTGCAAATATTTTATAATTTTTAAATGTCTATGATAGCTGGAAAACATTTTTTTGTTATCTGTATTCAGAACAAAAATACTTAATGATGGTTGCTTCAAATATTTTTGATGTAGCTACTATTTTCTCTGTCGTATCAATGGAAATATTATATAATACATTTCCAGACATTCATAAATATCAATAAGAAGAACTTTATCATTGGTTGTGATCAATCAATTCGTTTTTGTTTTCATCATAAGGATAAATATAAAATGATAAAAAGATTTCCGAAACAGTAAAAGTTTTTTAAAGAATTTTAAGTTAGTCAAACTACCAAATGGCAGCTACGTATATATGATGCATGGTTGCGCTATTCTTAACTATAGAAAATGTTTAAAAAAACATACAATAATGTTTCATAATGCTTTAAGTATTTTATAAGATAAAGATTGTGTTAGATTATCTGTTGGATTACGTATAAGCATGACTATGATAAATGAAATGTATGGTCTTCATAAGGAAGTTTAATCAATAAGAGCTATTGTTCTTAAATTTTGTGATAAGCTCTGAATTTAAGGTTTTCTTTATGTTTTCATTACTTACCATTGAAGAGGAAATTTGGCTATCAATAAAATTTCTCTTTTGAATTCTGAGGAGTTGTTTTCTATTCTTCTCAAACAGCAGCTTAGAAAAAATATAACTGAAGCAGAAACTGTCTTGTCCTAAAGTGCTAGTAATATTGGCTTTTTGAATTTTGATATCAACACAAGACAAGTACTTTTCTGTGGACGGGGACACAAATTTTGATGATTTTCAATTTTACTTTGGATAAAGAGCCGTAATTGCAGAAATTTAGTGTCAGAAAATATATGCAACAAAAATATTGTTTCAACATTTCGAAGAAATACCTTTTACATTGAAAATAACAAACCAAATTATTTTAATTCCTTATAACAACACCCCGGGAAGAAATATGTTTATTTTGACGTTATTCAAATTGGTCAACTATTTCAAGTGTCTCTATAAACTAAAAGAAAAATGTGCACTGCAGATGTTAGTTTCCGTTCATAGATAAAATACTATAAAGCCAAAAAAGGAGTATTGTCTATAAGCAACTTTTGTTTAATTCTATAGCTCATTATAATATGATTTACCCCCTTTTTACTTAACCTAACATAAACTTTCCAAAGTACATCATATTCAAACAACGTTAGTTTCTTAGGTAATTAGCTCTATACATCACATTTCACATGATTTTAATTTCTAATGTTTTTAACAAATTTAGTTCATTTTAACGTATTACTTCCCTTTCCTCTCTCAAGATGCGGAAAATAAGGACAAAAAAAGACAAATTAACGGTTGCGACTCCCCCTAAACATTTTCAGAGAAAAAGTAAGACTTACAATTTCATAAGTTACAATCCTCATACAGGTAAGTGTTTTTTCGTTTTCACCGAATGTATAAAAGCAAAGTTTCTGCACATACTTTTTTGTTTTTCTATCATAAATTTTGGCGTACTACGTATGTTTGTGTCTTGTTAACATAATGTCAAATCTAAGTTATTTGGGCCCATTACTTGTACAATATGTATAAATGTACATCATTAGATTATACTTTTGAACAATTTTTCTGAAAATAATAATGATTTTCTACAATTCTGTTTTAAAAATATTACATTGTCATTGAATGCAAAAACATTCTCTCAAATTTAACCAGTTTCTACAATAAAATACGCTTTCTGAAAAAAAATCTGCAAAGAAATGTCTCTTTTGTTACGTTGCTTTTGAGTCAGATTGTGTGACAGGGAATATTTAATACTGATTGCAAAAAAATATAAACACCTCTTAAAAAAATTCTTTTTAATGTTTAAATTATTCAACAGCTTAATCCCATTGACGTAATTATATTAGCGTGCTTTAAATTTGCATTGAAATTCTCACGAAGACACGCATATAATATTGCAGTTAAGTTGTTCATTCTCTTCTTTGAGTCACGCAACGTCAACAAGAGTTGTGAATTTTTAGGTTTGAGAAGCCAGTTAGAGAAGTCATAGGACGTAGATGTGGCTCTAACACGCCTTTTTAGAGATTGTACTTTATTCATCATGTTTCTAATAAATTTTGCTTCGTCAGGTATCAATGAACCCAATTTATTCATCTTTTATGCTTTAACATCCATCCAAAATACTTTAGAAAATTCTCTATGCATGATGCCTTATAATATTTTCTTGCATTTACGCAGTATAATAGAAACGCTTTACCTGCTGCTTTAATATTTAAATTTTAAAAATTGTTTGTGTGGGAGAATAAATTATTTTTTTCTTCTAGCAGCTTAAAAGCTGTTTTGTAAATTTCCAATTGACTATATTTACAATGTATGGATCTCTGCAAAGTAAGAAATTTCATTATAATTTTGCCATTGTTCAACCGAATAGTTTTTGATATATTACAGAGTTAAACTTTCACTAGTTGACAGAGGTCATTTTAATGAAATATGTTGTCACGTAGCAATGTAAACTATTTGTTACAAAGAATTCGTTGCTAATGTCCTTTTTTTGTGGACATTTAAATGTCACTCAATCTATTCACTTCTCTTCAAATCATGCAATCACAGATCTGATGCAGAAAAATAACTGAACAACAAACACACTAGGAAATCTATTTGAAAAATAAGGCCAAAACTCCTTTGTTAAAGATTGACTGTTTTTTTGGTTTCGCGTTCATAATTTGCCAGCAAAGTAAGAGATACTTCAAAGAGTGACGTTCTACAAAAACCAACCTATGCAACTATCTTTATTGAGCAGCGATGAACATGCCAACAAGCAGACTAATCAAAGTGCTTGTTCAACACGACAATATCATAGAGCATGACACGTCATTTCAAAACAGATGGATTTAATTATATACTTTGTACTGCATGTCACAAGGTGGTTCATAGTGCTGCTATCGATAAAATGCTTCCGCCAATACCTTTATGAACATTTAAAAAATAAATTACTTTCTCTTCTACTTCCCGAAACAGCTTGAGACAACAAATAAAGTTGATATTCTACGGAATATCTTATCTTGCATTCAATATAGATTCACTGGAGAATGTTATCGATTTTTAAAAACTTTGAATAATTTATGTCTCGGAAAAAAAAATTTAAAAATGTCCCAGTATACGACATAGCAAGCTTTCCTAGCTTTAACAGATCTTTAAGCCAGCTATTATTCCATCCATTAACTGAGTGTGACACAGTGTCTTATTTTTGAGGGTGCGACAAAAGAAAACTGTATTGGATGCCTGGTAATTAATTAATCCTTAACGGACTATTGAACCAAACAATTACATCGTCAGAAGAAAACATCACAAAGCAATCTATGGACGTTATTGAGAGGTCTGTGTTGCTGTTATTTCATCGAAAGAAAAGGAAACTGATACAAACTGATTAAATATGCATGCAAAGGAAAAGTCAGTGCAAGTACTTTAAAGGCAATCTGTATTTAAACTGCGCTTTGTAATATGACTTTTATCCATTGCATTTTTACGACAGCTGTACGAACAATTTCGTATGAAAAATCAGTTTCCTCGTATTCACAATTTATTGATTGTAACTTTACTGAACTGATTAGCAAATAGTTCATGTTAAATCGATGCAGACAAATGAACCAGTAAAATTGTCTGAATGTTCTGTTTTAAGAGCATGATACACTACTCAAGTTGAAAAAGCTAGATGTCAACAAAGTACAATATTTCTGGCAATAAACGCAGGAATTGACCAAGTGACCATTTTACACAAACTGTTATCGGTGGATAACTTCGCGAGTTTTTATTGAATTCACTCAAATACATGCTTAAAATAATCGCTGTATGTTCCTTTTTCAAATAAACTTTGATTGGATAAATTTCGATACAATACAATGGCAAGAACTGCGAAAAACCTCATTTTTGTAATACAATCTACATATCTTTTGCCCTGTTGACGCCGCCATATTGAATAATCATGATGGCCCAACGCGCACACATATAATATGTACGTACCTATGACTACTACATCTATGGTAAAAATAGATATTTTAATATGGCGCAAAGCTCAAATTTAAACACGGTAAACAATTACAGACTTGCATTGTCATGTTATATCGCAAGCTAAGCAAAGAAGATAAAAAATTGAACATGCTTTGTATATTTTAACTAGTCTGAGGCAACGTATTTTAAAATCTCTGTTGTAAAAGCACTTCTACTTTGTTTTGAAAAATGCAGCAACCCTTATTCAACGTTGATTGTTATTCTTTCAATAATATTACACGACGCCTTCCCTTTATCGCGTTCCAGACTTTGTTGTGAGCAAAACGCGAGCGCCAAATTGTATTCGAGAAAATGCAAAATTCAACGCTTGAAACAGGCCTTATTATGCGATGCCCGATGTTACTAAAAGATGTTAGATACAACCACATTTCACGTAGTGATTAGCCGCTGACCGTGCGAGTACGGGCAGATTAAGAAAAAAGGTACGTATAGCGTACATATGGATTTAATTTTAAAAAGACAAAATACTATTAACAAGTCTTCAATTTACCTATTGATATTATTCTAATTGAGAGTCAAGCACAATCCTTAATTAACATATTCATAATCACTATACATAAATTTAAAAGTTGCTTTTTATCGAGGAGATAAAGTGAATTTAACTGAATGAAAATGAACTATTAGTTTGAAAAATTTACGATAATCGTAAAACAGAGGGAAATGAGAGCAAAGATGAGCCTAACGTCCATGGTCCTAGCTTTATACTGTTCGATCACTAATGTTTTACTTCTATTCTCCTACCTCTATGGTCCTAGCTTTATACTGTTCGATCACTAATGTTTTACTTCTATTGTCCTAATATCTCCACCGTCTTTATACCGGCTGATCTTTAATGTCATATTTCTACTCTCATCTGTCGAAAATCATTTGACTAACAAACACACAACTTGAATGAAAAATTTTGATATATTCATAAATATACCATACAATAATTGAAAACCATATTTAGGTTTGACACAGTATGAAAAAGGCGTATACAGTCAATAAACTTAGACACTTCTTAAAAGCCAAGACCTCTTGTATGTGAAGACACATTTACAACCTTTCCTTAGCGGAGGTGAATACCAAAACAACATCCACAAACAACATTATAAACTGTTGTAAGCGGTTGCACTTGATCTATTTTCAGTCAAATTAGTAATTATCCCGACTAATTGACATATTACGGTATATAAATAGATGTTGTTTTGTAATGCATGTAAATTCTTTCGTCTCCTTCATTTTTCTTCATGAACCACTATAGTTTCTTCTCCAGGTTTGCCCATTTATGTTCCTCAAAGAAAATTTTTTCATGTCATGTGAACTTTAGGCATTGTGTCTGTACAATGACAATATACATAGTGAATTTGTTGTTTGATAAAGTCTATGGACTCAAACGTTTCACTGTACAGATGTTGGACTTTTCAGTCGTTATCAAGCATATAATCATATTTCAAAACATTGTAAAAACAGTCATATTTAAAAAAATTTTTATAATTATGCAAAAATTAACAAACATCTCATAAGCGGACACCTCCGACAACAGAACATCAAGTCTTGGTCTCAAGGGTGTCCTTTTACAGTAAGTTCGATTGCATTCATTGAATATAAAAATGCTTTAAAACGTCTATGCCTATATAGAGTAAAGAATGTTCTGAATTTTCTTCCTTGATGCTTTCCATCGTTACAAATATTTGCTGGCTCGGATGAAACTATCAAACACAATAGTGGTCATTTTACGAGCGTGATTAACACTATCGTATCTACGTCATTCGCATTGAATATTAAAGTTTATTACATGTTATTTTGCTATGACATGATTTCTTTGTACGAAATTTTCAAAACATGTCTCGCATACATTTTACTTTTCTTTCAAGGATTAGGCATGGAAATTTTTTGTGAGAGAAAATTACTGGTTGTTGGTCCGTTATTCATGTGTATTCAGTTATTCCTGGCATTTGAAATGTCCCATGAAAACAGAGAACAGGAAATATTATACCGTGATTTTACGCTTTTTAAAAGAATAAAAATGCAAATTGATTAATGTTTTATGATTTTCATGAATAACTAGGTTTAGGGTTTGTGCTTGAGAATGGTATGAGAAAAGTGACGGGATTAAATATCCCTAAAACCAACTACTGGGAAACAGTTCTTGGATGGGAAATGTTTAAGTCAGTTTGGAAATCAAGAGTTGTCGATATTACAAAGGAAATGCGAAACGGACTGGAGGCACAAAATGTTCCCTTGGTAACACCCGATGGAAAGAAATGTGTGAGTTTACTTGATTTACTTCAAGCTGAGAGAGCATTAGTCGTGCACTTTGGAAGTTGTAGTTGCCCAGTGTTTATGAATAAACTGAAAGAATTTGGTGTTCTAGCTCAAGACTTTTCAGATATCGTGGATTTTGTCGTTGTATATATTGAAGAAGCTCATCCAATTGATGGATGGTCTTTCAAGGTAAATTCTTTTATTTCTTCAACATAATTTTGAATTGATGAAAATCGTAGAGTTATATTATAGCTACGTTATTCATTATGAAGAATAGTTTTTCCAGTATAACATGAATGAATGGCTACAGCAATTTCGTGATTTATAAAACATTCTTTGTATAACCATAATAATAATAACGAAGCATATAAATTTCATCAGGTAAAATCTTTTGCAAACACTCATAACATTTTAGTAGGCTATATAGCCAGACAATATGTTCTGCTGACATAATAATAGCTTTTTTATCTTACTGATAAAAACGGGACCTTTTTCAAAGGCAGAAATAGTGAACTTCTGTTGAAGTATATTTTCATTAGGCAAAAACAAAGATGTTGTTTGAAAAAGAATCGTCCCTTTCATTATTTGACAATCTTTTGTGTAGAGAAAAACATGTCTTAAGATTTCTTGATAAAGTCATGAAGGAAGCTAATTTCACTTCATTTTAGAATAACTTTATCAAAGTACGAAAGCATCAAAATCAATATGAAAGATGCAAAGGCGCGCAAAAGCTACAAGAACTCAATCTTCCATGTCAAATAATGGTAGATACAATGGACGATAATGCAAATGTGGCCTGTGGAGCGTTGCCTGAGAGACTCTAAGCCATCGAAGAAGGTAAAGTCGCATACGTGGGCGGACAGGGACCAATGAATTCATCAATGAAAGCAGCACGTGACTGGCTAGAGTCATATCGCGAGAAAAACACATTTAGAAGATGGACAATCTAACCCAGCGAGCAAGAACTGTACAGAATGCAAACTTCGTATATGCAAATAGGACACTTGAAATCAATGACAATTTTTATAAATACAAAAATAAAAGCCTACCGGAAAACATATGACTCCCACCAGACATTTTCTTGCCGTTCTTCAGGTTCACAATTTTCTCTTCATTGGAATCACTTTCGACATCATTGTCATGAATCTTGTTCACTTTAGCACTACTCTTATCGCAGGTGTCACGTGCATCGCAGGTGTCGCGTGCATCATCATCTTAATTAGATTAAATGAGTAAGAGAGCAATCAGCATTATATGTACATGGTACTGCATCTTACATAATAATGATCATGTATTTTCATTTTGAATCACACACTACAATACCATGCAAAAAGTCAATTAGAAAGTTCATCACACCATTAGAAGTAGTACTACATGCAACACATCACTATCTTCATAGGTACATCACTATCTTCATATGTACATCACTATCTTCATCCATACATCACCACTTTCATAAATCCCCACTCCACCTTTATGTATCCCCACCATACCTTCATACATCCCCACCATCACACATTCAAACCTTCATGCATCCACAACTTGATACATCTTTAACTTTATAAATACCCAACCTTATACATACACACCTTCATCCATACACACCTTCATCCATACACACCTTCATCCATACACACCTTCATCCATACATACCTTCATATGTCCACACTTTTAAACATTCCTAATTTTAAGGTTACCCAGTTATAACTGTGATTGATGGATATATGCTACTATGTGCCTAAATTCAACAGTCAAATTCAGACCACTAAGAGTGGTGACTAGTTTATAAAACTCTGAGAAAATCCTTCTCTGTCCTCATTTAGGACAGTATAACAAAGTTGTCATTTTCAAAACTTGTGCTTTTGACTGATTACTCTGTCAACATTATGAGTTAAAAATTAAGGGCCTTGTGATTGGGAAAAGGAGTCTTACTAAAAATGTGAATTTGAGGTCAATGTAAGACAGCATTATATAATGCTTAACAATGAAAAACTTTAAAAGTTCTAAAATCATTGTTTGAATTGGATTTACTTCATTACTGCGTAGATTAGGGCAGCTTCCCAACCTTTTTTCCTCTTTCATGATGAAATCATGATGTAATCTTTCATGATGTAATCACTTTTCACAGTTTCATTTATAATTTTACATACCGATACCTTCACTATTTATTTTGATATGACTGCTTTCATTTTGTCCAACATCATTATCCTTTCTGTCATAAGGTGTATTTATTAGTGACATTTCAATTGCTTTTTCTATATCTCTTTGGTACAACTTTTCACGAACGGAAGGCCTTACAATAGAAAAAAATCTCATGACGTTGTTGTATCACACATTAAAGAAATTAGTGTGTACATTGGATTACACAAGGCAAAACAAAGGCTTATAAAGGATTAGAGATCTACTATAATATCTGTGTAAAACAGCACAATACCCTTTAGCCAAAATTAAAAATCTATTTTTGGGTCACACTTTCTCTCGCCTTTCTTCTCTTTGTTCATTTCCTTCTCTTTATGCATCGCCTTCTTTGTTTGTGGTTCAAAATCAACTTCAAAATCATCTGAAACATATCATGAAGTCATAAATACAAAAACTTAGCAATTTAAAACAAGACAAATCTATAGAACATGCAGGTACATGTTGTATGTAGGTACATGTAAACTGATACAATATAAAATGTACCCTTCTCCTACCTATGTAAACCAGAGTGTATAACCACATACTTTACTGTAAAACAGAGCAATTATAATTTTCATTAATAGCTACGTAATTATGAGATCACTGTATGTACAATACATTACCATCACTTTCACAATTGGAGCTCATATCAGTATAATTAACATTTTTTCTCCCTTTCCTACAAGAGATGATGGTGAAAAATAAAAACATGAGTAAACCTAAATGCTTGTAGATGTAGATCTTCAAGGCTCGAGCAGTCCTGAAAATGACTGTTGGTGTTGTTAATGATTGATATTTTGACATCCTTTGATCATCAGAGTCAAGTAACATACCAACACCAAGAATTCTTTTCAGGACTGCTAAAGCTGGACGATCAACATTTAAAAAATATAACATAATAGGTAATGAAAATAATAAATTCTTATATTAAAATCGTCCCTGCTTTATTAATCACCAATATTGTCAACCAACAGTAAAACTTGTTTCACCCATATGCCATACCATAGTAGTGATAGTACAAATTGGAATCAAGTAACAAATTTTAGAATTCTTACCTTTTAGATTTTCGCTTAAAGGTCATCTTTAATGCATATTTACAAAACTAAAAATTATGCTATCAGAGAAAATACTAATGAAGTTAGGATTCAAGTTTAACTTCTCGTGGTTTTAACATGATTTTCATTATGTAGTTGAATAATCTTATAAAGTTTCGCGCCTTGGCGTCATTACACTGGATCATATCATTACACTGGATCATACACTGGAAAATGCATTTTGTGTATTTCTTTACTTTTAAACTCATAATAGAGCTTAACAACAGTGATACATTATTAAAAAGTATTTTGTCTTGTTGAAACACTGCTTTAGGCTTTTAAATTATTTAAATCAAAGTTTGCTTTTGCATAAAGACCTTGGCACCTGCAAAAGGGGGTAAGAAATATTTAAGTTTCCGTTGCTAGTAATCGTAAAGAATGTCAATCACAACAAAGATACCACCTTTACAGCTTAAAAATTTACCATACATTGTCAAGATTATTTTTAAAAGAAAAATTTAATTTCCTGTGAAAGATGAACGGTTGTCTGCATATTATCTACAAGTACAGCTCGTATTTAAGCACTTTTACGTAGAATTTCTTTTTTTTGTCTTTATATATAACCAAGGAAGTGAATGGCGCAAGCATCACAGCGCAAAAAAAACGTTATATTTGTAATTTTTCGTGAGATGAAAAGATTTTTTCTTGTAAAGCATGCAAAATTGTAAGCCTGGACTAAAAAAATTTATACATAACATAAATTCAATGAGCTCTCTTTTTGGTCGAGTCCTGTGTTTAAATCAGGCCATCGAAACACCGAAATTTAAATAGCCAAAATGAAATTTAGAATTTTCTAAGTTTCCTTTTTAAGATCTATCAGAAAAAATAACACCAAAATGTGTTCATGTGTACTTTAAAATACAGATCACGACAAAGCTCAAGAGCCATTACTACTTTTCAGGAAATGTTAGGGATGCATTGAGCTATCATAAAGACACGGCGTTTTCAACAAAAGATTCCGATGATGAAGGAAACTGCGCTGCTTACTGGCAAGGTGCTTGGTGGTATAAAAATTGTTATTATAGCAACCTTAATGGTAAAAATCTTGCTTAGCTTGGTTTTAATAACGTGAAAACCAGTGAAATGAAAATCAAACCATGAAGAATTTTCATAAATATTTATGATTTCATGACAATGATCAATATCAATGTCAATACGTCATGTAATATGTCTTAAACATTTACACTCGTTGTTTACTATGAGAAAATGTGTAAAAAAATTGTTATAGATAGAAGTCAAGAAAACTGTAATCATTTCATGAAATAATAAAAAATATTGTTTCAATCAATGATGTTGATGAAATATGAGTTTCTAACATGTTTATCTAAATGAAACTGATGTAATCAAATCATACTCAAAACGACTGCGGCTTTATGAGTTTGTAATGTGACTGTTTTCGTCTTCCTGGGCATAAAATGATTTTTCACATTACTAATGCTTACACAGTTACACGTTTAAAAGCATTTTATTAGTGTTATTGTGGGCATCAGCCATCTTGGGTGAGCCACATTGTTCGATAAGTCCCTAGAGGTTGGCTGCAATCCAAGAATATAAAACCCCTAAACACAACCACAATCGCTACACCCAAATCGTATTTAACTGGTTTACAAGAGCAATATATGTGGTACTTTAATACGATCTCAAAGAAGAATCTCACGAAAGCTCGATTGACAAAGAATTCATTGTGTTTGAACGAAGTGGACGCTGAATTCACAAGTGTCTATTTCTATGTATGCTCACTTGAATGTTCTCTTGGAGTCGAAGTTCTCTGCTGTCAACATTAAAGTATGTCACTGGAGCTTTGGAATTTTATGATATGTGTTTATCGTACATATCCAAATTAACATATATATTATATTTAAAGTAGTTTATGGCGGTTTTTTGTTGAAATCATTCATACTTAGTAACCAAGTATTAACCATTGAAGAATTATTCAGATAGCTGCAACTTTAGATATGTTGTCAACTTGACACTGACAAAATATTAGATTGAAGGCCAAGCCTATTGTAAAAATTCAATGCATTGGAAAACGACATATCAAAAGTTTTACCAAGGACAAGCAGTTCTTCAATGGTGGGAGAATGTAAGTTATAGTCATAATATATCTAAAGTTTGTAAATCATATAATTATAAATGCTGCAAGATTGGCTACCGACTACTGTTCTTTACAGTCTGCAGAATCAAATGAGTTCGTGTAGCCAGAAAGCAAGCCTTTCTTAGCTTTATCGGTTTTCGGAAAAAGATTTGCCATACTATATTCAAAACATATGCATGTGCTGTCAGCCTGTCAGTGCTGATCCTTGTCCTCCCGATGCGCCTTTGCAACGATTGCTAGGATGTTAATGACGTAGGTGCAATTGGTCTATACAAAGAAACAGTAGTCTCACTTTACCGTGTAACTTTGTGCTGTATATTTAATTAAATTACTGGCTGCGGCTGGTCACCTCAGCGCTCCTATTGGTCAGAAAGTGCAAATTACTGGCTGCTACTCTGCTTCTTACATGCGTAATAAGATATGCGCTACACAAAAAATTTCTATAAAGTGAAACTATTGTTTGTTTCTATACTGCCGTTAGATCAACACCGACTGTTATAATAAAGGCATCTGATCGATGAAGTTAAAGGTACGTTTGTTGAGTAAATTTTACCTCTGACATAGTATGACGGATGTCTTTAAGTCAAAGAATTGTGATGACAATAAATAATGAGTTATTATTAGTTTAGGGAATACTCATGTGAGCCGGGCTGGCCGACTTTGCCGGGCCAGTTTATTATTTGATTCACATGAGGCGGGCTAGCCCGACAAAGTAAAGTAATAATTATTTACCCACGCAGCATAAAAGTCCAAATCACGATATTTGATGTTACTTTTATAAGCTGAAAGAAACTCAGTGATGTTATGCATTAGTCTATGGTCCACCGAAAGTTGTTTTTTTGCTTGCACTGTATTTTGCATCGCATTGAATTTTATGAACATGCACACTGGTACGATGTTTAATTCGGCATGCCGGTCTAGCCCGCCTTGTGCATTTACATGAGCCCGTTTATGACAAGATCCCGCCTCGTTTTAGCGACATCCAGGCAAAACTGGCCAGTCCGTCTCTCATATGAATCAAAATTGAAATTATATGTAAATACTAAAAGAGGTGAGATCTTGCTACTGCCGGGCTAGCTCGGTAAAGCGGGTCAGCCCGGCTCATATGAACAGGCCCTTATATACATACACTTGAAGTTTTAATCACCCAGCTTATAACTTATGTTTAGATTATGGGTATAACTTACACTTTCCATAATTACAAATTGTTTATCTCTTGCAAATAAGTGTTTCATTAGCGTTACACGAGTTAATTGTATTCAAATAAATCTTGAATGCAATGAAGCTTGGTATGTTTGTATGGCTACTATGTAAAAGAGAACATGCATGTTAACGTCTGATTGGATCTACATGTTCCTACATATTCAGTCAAAACAAATATATATAATCAAAGTTTTATTTTTACGAAACTTTTGTAATGGTTCAAAACTTATTATTGCAAAAAAAAACTTGTCCGTCGTGCACGTGTGAAAGTGGTAGCCGGTTTTTCTTATGGCAGACGTCGAATTATTTTAACGATTCACTTTATTCAAACAAACATACCGTATAGCTTGATCAAATTCACTTATAATTTATTTTGACAGTGGGCGCTGATCCAACCTTGCATCACTTTAATTACAAAACATCTGTCAACGTTACTCTTATTTTTAACTCATTATTGTAGAATTGCACACCATGGTTCGTCATCAACTGTTGAGGCTTGGTTAATGCTAATGATCAACATACTCAAATTCCTATTCTCAATTGACTGGTAACCTTCTTGATCTTCATTAGTCGACTATTCTGGCTAAAAACTGAAATGGCTTACCACTATACGGTTGTCAAAACGTCAATTAACATCAACAACAATAGTCCTTCTCACGACTCTAATAGCTTGGAGGATCTACATCCACAAACATGTAACGATACTCTCGGGTTTAAACCATTTAATTTATTACGAATGCTATTGGTTGGATTGCCTTCCATATCACTTTCAAAATCATGGAGAAAACAAAATTGTACGTGTTTTTTTTATTGTTTTTAAATGCCATGCTGTGTAAAATAAACATTGAACATAACTTTAATTTTGTAAACAGCAAGCTCAAATTTTTTTGATGATATGACGTAAAAAGTCATTTCCTCTGACGTATACGGCGCTCCACGCTGCTAAGTCTCCAATCAGTTCAAAAAGTGCATTTAAATAGCTAAGTGTTTCTTCAAAAAGAAAGTAGCTGATGTAAAGTTTTTAAATTAAGGCGACCCTACAACAACCAATATCAAGCACTATCCAAAACATTGTTATTTCTTAACATCAACAACATACAGCATACGTGCTCTTTAACACACATTTTGGTGGATCCTATTCAAACGATGAAAATAGAATTGTCAAAGGATACTGTTAAATCTTTTCAATTTTTAATTAACAGTCTTTATATCAATGCAAGCTTTGTTTTGGCTGTCGCTCCCTTATAGAGTGGCGTCACGAATAGCATTTAATTCAGGGGTTCTTAACCTGGGGTCCATGAACCCCTAAGGGGTCCATGATGGTGCTTTAAGGGGTCCGCAAATCCAAATAAGAATATCTACAGTAGGCTACGTATTTCTATTGACCGATTAGAACCTAAAAAAGCAACATCGTTTAATGATCGTTCGAAATATATGCTCACAAATCTTTGGACGGAATAAAAACAAGATGTTTTCGCCTTCGATATGTATATTTAACTGAAGTATGATTGACATGTTTTTCTTTTCTATTGTGCATTTATAATTAGTAGTCTAATGTTTCTTACATCGCATTTGTGATAAATAGGCCTATGTAATCATACACAATGTCTATGACATAGACATTGTGTATGATTCTATTACGACATAGACTCTATGTCGTAATAGAATAAATAGATTGAACAAAAAACCGTGCACGTGTATGCTGCATTGAGTATTATACAAAGCTGTCAATTTGCTTATGTGTTTTCTACTACAAAGATTTATAACCTGGAAGGATAAATAAATTAAAAATTTTACCAATTTAAAAAAATGTCGAAGAAGAGAAAGTACAGTGAAAATTATGTAGCTTTTGGTTTTACCTTTATTACTGATAGTGATGGCAGCGAAAGGCCGCAATGTTTTCTATGTGGTAAAGTCCTTGCCAATGCAAGTTTGAAGCCAGCGAAACTGAAAGAGCACCTCATATCTATTCATCCTAAAAACGCACTGGATAGTGTTGATTCTTTTCGTTCTAAAAGGCTCGATTTGAGAAATCAGGGACTTTGCCGAAGTTCGGATTCATCAAGACGCAGAAGCCTTGCCTTGAAGCATCTTATAAGGTCGCTTACCGCATTGCCAAGGCAAAGAAAGCTCACACTATCGGAGAGACATTGATAAAACCGTGTGCTCTGGAAATGACTGAGCTAGTATGTGGCACAGAACAAAGAAAGAAACTTGAAGCCGTTTCCTTGTCAAACGATACCATCAGCTCCAGAATTATTGACATTTCTAATAATATTCTGAAACAAGTAATGGAGGAACTTAAAGCATCACCATTTCCATTTAGCATGCAACTGGATGAAAGCACAGATGTCTCTCAGTGTGCCCAGCTTCTTGTATATGTTCGTTATATGCACGCTGATGCAATTAAAGAAGAATTCCTATTTTGCGAGCCTCTCTCAGAAACTACAAAGGCTGCAGACGTATTAGAGATGGTGAACAATTTCTTTGCCAAACAAGACTTCAATTGGAAGAAAAATATTGGTAGTTTGTGTACCGACGGAGCGCCTGCAATGCTTGGAAAAACCTCAGGGTTTGCTTCGTTGGTAAAGAAAGAAGCTCCTCACATCATTGTGACTCATTGCTTTCTACATCGACATGCATTGGCATCAAAAACTCTATCACCAGCTTTAAAAGAAATTTTGTCTGTTTCTGTAAAGATCGTCAACTTTGTCAGAGCTCGAGCTTTAAACAATCGTATATTCAAAAGACTTTGCCAAGAAATGGGTGCACAACATGAAGTACTTTTGTACCACACTGAAGTTCGCTGGCTTTCGAGAGGTCAAGTTTTGAAGCGTTTGATGGAACTGAGAAAGGAAGTTTCATTCTTCTTACGAGAAAACAAAATCCTCTATCAGTGCAATTTGACAGAAAGGAGTTTCTTTATGGCTTAGCTTAGGCAGATATTTTCGGTCATTTGAATGAAGTAAATCTGTCATTTCAAGGACCAGATGTAACGATTATGGACGTTACAGAAAGACTGCAGGCTTTTCAAGCAAAGCTTCCTTTGTGGAAAAGAAGACTTGAGACAGACAACTTTGCCAACTTCCCAATGCTGGAGGAAGTGATCTCTCAAACTCGAATCGATAATACTGAAGCCCTGCTTTCCTCTCTACGTGGAAATATGTGCGAAAATTTAGACAGATTGCAGCAATCTTTTGAAAGTTATTGCTCACATGATCCGAATTTTGAATTGTGGATTCGCAACCCATTTCTTGCAGATCTAAATTCTATTGGTGATGACGATCTTGCCAAAGATGACCTCATTGAGTTGAGGACAATGCAAATGCTAAGGAGCGAATTCAATTCAAAGAACCTTGCAGAATTCTGGTGTTCCTTGGCACAAGCGTATCCTCGCCTGGTGAAGAGAGCCATGGTTGCTCTTATTCCTTTTGCTACTACCTACCTCTGTGAGGCAGGGTTTTCTGCTCTTCTTGCTATCAAAACGAAACAGCGAAATCGGTTGGATGCTAAGGATAACATGCGTGTGGCCCTGGCAAAAACCGTCCCACAATTTCGTGTTCTTGTTGAAGATAAGCAGGAGCAACCTTCGCATTGATTTAAAAAGTTATTTGCGTTCTACTTATTGGTTACTGCACTGTATTTTTTGATTCTTTATGGTTTTGTAATTGTTGTATAACTTAATTGACTCGGTAATTGATTTATTATTCATTATTATTCGTTGAATTATTAATTTGCTTCTGTTTGGTCTGCAAATTTCTGGACTATATTACTAAGTTAATTAAAAGCTAATTTTGACAATTGCGATGTGTTTCTTCTAAAGGGGTCCAAAGCTTTCATTAGAATGTTTTGGGGGTCCGTGACCAACAAAAGGTTAAGAACCCCTGATTTAATTGGAAATTGTTGATAATATTGGTCCTTTTTTTTAGCAAAACACAGTGCTCACTGCAATGCCTTGTGCTATCTATTATTACAACTCATCATTATTTTTAAACTTTTTTTTATTAAAAAAACTATAACATCGCAAGCAAGCTATCAATGAAGTACAACGTAATTAACAGCTTGTTACCACAATATCACAATACGTTTTTATTCATTAATTCTATATTAATCAGCTAGTGGTGTTGTTTTACGATAAATAAAGGCCTGTTTATTAAAGAGTAAATGTGATGTTGCAAAATCCTTCAAAACTACCGAATTTAAGTTTTGAGTCAGTTTTGTAAACTTCTTCCATGTTTAGTGAATTCGATTTTAAATTAAAATAATGTCAAGTTTGTGGCTATGTGTGCAAATTGTTCAACATATTTAAACTATTTAAAGCAGTTCAATTACATGCTGAAACAAATTAGTCTGTGTAACTTTGTAAAGGCTTCTTTATCCTCACAATTTATTCATGCTGGACACACACATATATAAATAGCCTCGATCCTCATCTCAACCTAAAGTGTTTACTTGTAAGACATTTGAGACAAGACAAGATGGTGAGCTTTATTTGTGCATTGGTGGCGATTACCTGCATCGTTGTTAATATTCAAGGGTAAGCTATGGCTTACTGCCAAGAAGAACTTGGAAATGTTGAATGTGATCATTGAACGCTATGAAGACTATATTAGAAACGCCGTATTTCTATATTAGAGCAGGCCATCCCGGCTTAACGAGATTCGCTTGAAGGAAGCGAGATCTCGCTTCTAACGGGCTCATATAACTGCATCAAGCGGGCCAGCCCGGCTAAACTGGGCTGGAAGCGATGAGACTGCGCATGCTCTTGTCGTATTTGGTTACTTAAATATAGCAAAATTTTCAAAACAATAATGTGCAATTGAAAATAAGTTTGAAAATTCCATGTTATACCACTACAATAGTTTTATTAAGTTTCCTTATATTGAGACGGCCTTAATCAACTAAACTTTGAGTGAAAGACAAACGAATTAACTGACCACTTATTCGTAAACAATGTTCTTTTTATTTAAAAAGAGATTATTCTGCCGCCTACCTCCGAAGACTTGCTTGATTGAAAAGTTTGTAATGAAATTACGACTTCAAGTGCGAGTGTAATATAGAGATGATGGTTATGTAGATACAACAATTCTCGGATTACAACAACCGATGTCAAGCACTATTCAAAGCATAGTTATTTCGTTATATCAACAACATAGAGCATACGTGCTCCTTAACACACGTTTTTCTGAATCGTATTCAAAAGATGAATTTAAAATTGTCATAGGATACTGCTAAATGCTTTTTAATTGCCTCAATTTTTAATAAACAGTCTTTATATCAATGCAAGCTTTGTTTTGGATGTCGCTCCCTTACAGGGTGCAATCATGAAGAGCATTTAATTGGAAATTTTCGAAGATCTCGGTTCTTTTTTAGCAAAACACAACACTCACTGTAATGCCTTGTGCTTTTATTATAACTCTTTCTTACTTTAAATTGTTTTCTTAAAAATCTATAACATCGCGAGCAAGCTATCAATGAAGTACATCGTATTTAATAGCTTGTTACGACAATATCACAATAAGTCTTTATTCATTAATTCTATATTAATCAGCTAGTGTTGTTGTTTTACGATAAATAAAGGCCTGTTTATTAAAGAAAAAATGTTATGTTGCAAATCCTTCAAAACTACCTTAATAGAATTCCCTAAGCATATTTCTTCTTTGCAAGGGTTATGTCAAAAATCTTAAGGGTTATTCAAATGCCTCGTATTTTATTAAGTTTCCTTTCATTGAGACGGCCTTAATCAACTAAACTTGGAGTGAAAGACAAACGAATTAACTGACCACTTATTCGTAAACAATGTTCTTTTTATTTATAAAGAGATTATTCTGCCGCCCACCTCCGAAGACTTGCTTGATTGAAAAGTTTGTAATGAAATTACGACTTCAAGTGCGAGTGTAATATAGAGATGATGATTATGTAGATACAACATTTCTCGGATTACAACAACCGATGTCAAGCACCATTCAAAGCATAGTTATTTCGTTATATCAACAACATAGAGCATACGTGCTCCTTAACACACGTTTTTCTGAATCGTATTCAAAAGATGAATTTAAAATTGTCAAAGGATACTGTTAAATGCTTTTTAATTGCCTCAATTTTTAATAAACAGTCTTTATATCAATGCAAGCTTTGTTTTGGATCTCGCTCCCTTATAGGGTGCCGTCATGAAGAGCATTTAATTGGAAATTTTTGAAGATCTCGGTTCTTTTTTTAGCAAAACACAACACTCACTGCAATGCCTTGTGCTTTTATTATAACTCTTTCTTATTTTTAAATTGTTTTCTTAAAAATCTATAACATCGCAAGCAAGCTATCAATGAAGTACAACGTATTTAACAGCTACACATAGTATGTTACCAAAATACCACAATAAGTCTTTATTCATTAATTTTATATTAATTAGCTAGTGTTGTTGTTTTACGATAAATAAAGGCCTGTTTATTAAAGAAAAATTGTTATGTTGCAAATCCTTCACAACTACTTTAATAGAATTCCCTAAGCATATTTCTTTTTTGCAAGGGTTATGTAAAAAGTCTTGAGGGTTATTCAAATGCCTCGTATTTTATTAGGTTTCCTTATGTTGACACGGCCTTAATCAACTAAACTTTTAGTGAAAGACAAACGAATTAACTGACCACTTATTCGTAAACAATGTTCTTTTTATTTATAAAGAGATTATTCTGCCGCCCACCTCCGACGACTTGCTTGATTGAAAAGTTTGTAATGAAATTACGACTTCAAGTGCGAGTGTAATATAGAGATGATGGTTATGTAGATACAACATTTCTCGGATTACAACAACCGATGTCAAGCACCATTCAAAGCATAGTTATTTCGTTATATCAACAACATAGAGCATACGTGCTCCTTAACACACGTTTTTCTGGATCCTATTCAAAAGATGAATTTAAAATTGTCAAAGGATACTGTTAAATGCTTTTTAATTGCCTCAATTTTTAATAAACAGTCTTTATATCAATGCAAGCTTTGTTTTGGATGTCGCTCCCTTATAGGGTGCCGTCATGAAGAGCATTTAATTGGAAATTTTTGAAGATCTCTGTTCTTTTTTTAGCAAAACACAACACTAACTGTAATGCCTTGTGCTTTTATTATAACTCTTTCTTATTTTTAAATTCTTTTCATAAAAATCTATAACATCGGGAGCAAGCTATCAATGAAATACAACGTATTTAACAGCTACATTTAGTTTGTTACCAAACCATCACAATAAGTCTTTAATAATTAATTTTATGTTAATCAGCTAGTGTTGTTGTTTTACGATAAATAAAGGCCTGTTTATTAAAGAGTAAATGTTATGTTGCAAATCCTTCAAAACTACCGATTTAAAGTTTGAGTCAATTTTCTAAACTTCTTCCAAGTTGAGTGAGTTTGACTTTATAATTGAAACACTGTCCAGTTTGTGGCTATGTGTGCAAATTGTTCAACATATTTAAACTATTTAAAGCAGTTCAATTATCTGCCGAAACAAATTAGTTTGTATAAATTTGTAAAGGCTTCTTTATCCTAACATTTTAATTATGCTGGACACACACATATATAAAGAGCTTCAATCTTCATCAAAACCTGAAGTTTCTACTTGTAAGACATTTGAGAAAGACAAGATGGTGAGCTTTATTTGTGAATTTGTGGCGATTACCTGCATCGTTGTTAGTATTCAAGGGTAAGCTATGGTTTAGTGAAAAGAAGAACTTGGAAATGTTAATGTGATCATAGAACGCTATGAAGACTATATGAGAAACGCCTCTAAGGGTTTTTCTTTTTAAATTTGAATAATCTTTCTGTACAAGTTATCGAGTTGTAGTTAATATTCAGTGCTGGGGCAGTATACAAACATGATAAAAGCTTTGCAAGTTACGATACCGTATACTAAGGATTTTTCAAATTAGCTCAAGCAATTTATTCAAGTTGTGTATGGGAGGAGTAAGACTTTTATATGCATTACACATTTTTAGTAAGTCGTTAGCTATGTCATGTATGTATTTAATATAAATCTGTCTCAATTCCTTGTTTATAGTGTGAAATATTTCATCTGAAAACTTTTCCATGACTCATTATAGTGTTCTTACTTTTGCAGAGTGAGATTAACAAACGAAAAGGAAGATTATTTAAAAGATTTCTACTCAACATTCAGCCATGACATTAAACGCACCATAAAATCCGATCAAAACAATGCAACATTGAAAGCACAAATTGCAGTAATAGACGGACAAATAAAAAAACTTCAAACATATCACAAGAATCTTCAAACCCAGCACAAACATCTACAAACATTTAAGTTAACTCTTCAACACAAAATCAATAGGACAGAAGTACAAACATATAAACTAGTGAAACTACAACAAAAAATTAAGAAAGTTGAATTGAAAATGGTTGATCTGTCGTCAAAAATGAAAAAACTTGATGCACAAATGGCAAAATTACAAACGGAGTTGAAAAGTCTTGAAAAACAATTGAAAACACTTTACATGGAAAATGAAGAACTTACAAATATCTCGGAAAAAGGTAAGAATGATTTTAAAAAAAGAAAAGACACTTATAGATTCGAGTAAGAAGTAATATTTGTTCAATAAAAACAATATCTTTCAATTAATTTCTTTGTGTTAGTCAATATTTTTATAACCATCAGGAAAAGACTGCGCAGATCTTTACAGAAAAAGTATAAGACACAATGGAATATACGAAATTGATCCTGATGGTAACGGATACTTTAAAGTCTTCTGTGACATGACGTCATCGGGTGGTGGTTGGACTGTAATTCAAAGACATATAAAAAATGGAAATACAGACTTTTATCTGGGTTGGGCGGAGTATAAACGTGGCTTTGGTAATCTTAAATCCGAATTCTGGCTTGGATTGGACAAGATACATCGACTAACATCTGCAAAAAAAAACAAACTTCGAATTGATCTAGTTAACACGTCAGGCACTAAAAAATACGCTGAATATGAAGATTTTGTTGTAAAGGATGGAAATTCTAAGTATCAATTAAGTATTGGAAAATACACAGGTAAGAAGATTTTGAAGAAAATGAGTGTTTGTGATAGCAAATTGCGTTGACAGATTGTAACTTAGGACCAGTTCATTTGAGACGGGCCAGCCCGCTTATGCCAGGATAGGTAGCTTTGCCGAGATCTTGCCTCGTATATTATTTTACAATTTTTTTGAAATTGCGTTCATATGAAGAGCGGGCCAAACCGGCTGGGCGAGATCCACTTGAAGGAGGCGAGGTTCTAACGGGCTCATATAACTGCATCAATCTGGCCAGCCCGGCTAAACTGGGCTGGAAGAGATGAGATTGCGCATGCTCTTGTTTTATTTGGTTATTTAAATATGGCAAAAACTTTAAAACAAAAATGTGCAATTGAAAATAAGTTTGAAAATTTCATGTTATACCACTACAATAGTCGGTGGAACTCACTGGTAGCAATCAGATTGTTGAATGTCTGAGTCTAAACACAATTTAATTTTCCCACAAAATACAATGTTTGTTGGCAGAAATTAAATACAACATTTCAGCCTGGCCAGCGCGCCTCATATGAATGCGAATACAAATTGGCCCTGCAAGCCAGCTAGCCCAGCTTTAAGTGGTTTTAACCTTTTTAAAATACAAATCACCAGAAAACTCTGGAACTATTTCTACTTTTCAGGAACTGCTGGGGATAAATTATCCTATCACAATAATATGAAGTTTTCAACCAAAGATTCAGATAATGATAAAAGTAGTGGAAATTGCGCTTCTTCCTACAAAGGCGCTTGGTGGTATAATGGTTGTTATCACTCTAACCTAAATGGTAAAAATCTTGCTTGGTCTGGTTTTAGTAGCGTGAAAACCAGTGAAATGAAAATCAAACCATGATGACTTTGCATAAATATTAATAATTTCATGACAATGATCAATATATCTATCAATACGTCATGTAAAAATATGTTTGTTTACGAGTAAATATGCAAAAAATTGTGTTCATTTCATGAAGTAATAAAAAATATTGTTTCAATCAATGAAATGGAGGAAATGTGAGTTTTTAATATGTTTATCTAAATGAAGCTGTTATCATCAAATCATACGCAAAATAACTGCATCTTTTTGAGCTTTACCATGTTGTTAGCTGCCTTCTTTAAAGAGATATTTCTTTTTAATTATTATATTTTATTCTTCATGGCATGATATGGTTTCTCACATTTAACAAGACTTACGCGCTTATATAGCACGTTGTGTTTTTTCAAAATAAACAAATTAGAAAAACAAAGGATTGATATCTGCTTCAACTTAAATTAAAAATTTGCAAAGAGGATCGTCATGAAATGAATTGTATTTGCTTTATTGGCTTCTTTGTACCGTTAGATGCAAGTCATAATGAATGAAAATCTTATATCTTGCACAATATGTTTTATTCTTTATTTAGCGTCCTTGCTTAATTAACCTCCTTCTCTATATAAAACCTCTTTCCTTACTTAACCTCCTTCTCTTTACAAAATCTCCTGCCTTACTTAACCTTCTTTTTTTTTTGCTAAACTTTCTACTCCACTAAACTTTATACTTTATAAAACCTCCTTCTTTACTAAGTATCAATTTTACTAAATTTCCGGAAATTGTTGCTCTGTTTAACCTTCAAATCTGACCATGTAGTTATTACCATGTAGTTTCTCACCTTCCTCATTAAAAGCTGTTCTAATTATCTAATTTTTAAGAGATAATGGCTTACCTATCTATCTTTAAGCTCAATGCAGCCAAGTTTCTCAATATCTGTAGACCTGTTAAAAAAAAAACTAGATGTTTCTATAAGTACACCAAAGAAGCTGATAAATAAAACGTTAGACTCGGTAGCATCATTGTCAATGCTGATTTTTAAAGGGAAATAGTAAGAAAAATTCGCAATGATTATATATGTAACGCATTTAAAAGCCTGTAAAGAAAAATCCATTAATTTGTTTTCATCCTAGATTTAATCACAAAAGTAAACCGGACGATACAAAATTTAATGATTGTAATCTTTGGAAAATCTTTTCATTTCAATATCGTCAATTAAAAGAAATACATTACGCGCTACCTAAATGACTTTGGTGATTTAAAATTAACACAAAACTTCATCCTTATATTAGAGAGATAAAAAAAGCTCCTTTTTGGTCACATCACATCCAAAATTTTATTTCATGATTTTTCAATTTTATTCCTTTATGGGCAGTGGCCTAGCCAGCCTTCAATTTATTCATGATACGTAATTTTTTATCATCAGCATCATTCGTTTTATTAAAAATTCACAGTATTATGAACAACAAAATGTTTACATAGCAAGAAGAAACTTGCGGGTTTGCTACGCCACTGATCATGTGTTAGTTTCATGTACGCATATCTTTCCTTATTTCCTTATGTGTCAAATTAAACATTATTCCTGTTAATCCTATCATGTAATTTAATGCAATGTAATTTTTTAATTAGATTTTTCATTTAGCTAAGACTGTTGAAGATGTCTTATGTGTGTCACAAAGAAACGTCTTCAATAAAAAAACTTTCATGCTACAAATTTATTTAAAAAATGATCGCTTTGAATATATAATTATTGGGCTTACCTCTTAATGATGGTCCATTATATTTTTATAGAAGATAAAAGAATGGAATATGCCTGATTTTTCTTAGTATAACTTACAACTTAGCACATGTTAGCTACCCATAAAAAACTGAGCATGAAAATTAAGGCTTTCTTTGTGCAAAAGGGAAAACGATTTTTCTTGTTGAATCAACACATTATATAAGTGTTTCTCAGAGTACATGAAAAAGTCGATGCTTCTTTAAAGAACAAAAAAACTTTCTTACTGTTATTGAAAACATCATGAAAAATAACAAAAATATACCAACTAATGTGGAAAAGATTATTTAAAGGCATTTGACTTCACTGCAGCCTTTGATGTAAAAATATTGGAACAAATTTGTTTCTTTGACACTAAGGCAGCTAGGGTACAGACACCAGTGCTTAGACCATCTTTGACTAATAGTCTATACTATAAAGCATTGTTTTAATACCATTTGATTTGGATATGGATTAAGACGAAATATCTTAATTGCAACCTATATATAGCTACTCGCTTCCATGGTATAGAGATAAGTGGTCAATCAAGGTGAAGCTCAGATCGTCTTTCAAAAAATGTCCATTTTACTTGAAAGGAGCTCCAGTCAACAAAAAAGTTATATTAAATATATAAAATTCATAAAATAATCTTTAATGTATAAAAGATCCTGTTTTTTTCCCATTTTGTGTTAAAAAATTACCTTATTCTCTAATCATAAACCTTTATTAATACTCTTCTCATTCAGTTGTGCTATTTCAATCCTTTTAGTTCAGAAACAAGACTACAGTGTTTGTGAAATTATATATTTAACCATTGAAAGATTTAATTAATAACTGAAGAGGGATGTATAACAAATGCAAATCCCTTTTCCTGCCTATCTCTTAAAGATGTTAGATAATTTAAACTAGGCTCGTAAATTAGATTAGAATATGATTAACGGAACAATACCCTCAAAATATTTTCTAGATATTAAAAGACTAGCTTTATCAAATACTTTGAGCAGAATAGCAATGTTCAGAAAAGCAGTTTTGTTCAAACCTCTTTCATTTGAAACGTTGAGTCTATAGTAAAATTTTCTACTAGCAATTGTTGATGTATAACTGCCACTTATTAATTAAGATTTTTCAACAATATCTTTTCCATTCGTGCCCTGACTTGCTGTCTGCAAGTCTGTGAAAAACCGCACAACAGTTTTATTTCGAAATAATTACATTATAGGTGGTTTTCATGTTACTTTATGGCCGCCATGTTGGTTGTCAAATACAAAAGAAGATGACATTCATGCAATTGTGGGCACTAGCCATCGTGGGCGAGCTACATTGTTCGATAATTCTCTAGAGGTTGGTTTAACCCGAAAATTTTTAACTATGTAGTCTATAAAAAAAGCAAGGTTGCCATAGCAATGGCTTTTAGTATTCAACTTTACTAAAAATGCATATTTTTTGCTCGGTTATTTCATGGTAACTTTGCTTCCATGCACTTGGATTTAGTTCAAGCTGACTGAGATTAGCTCTGTAGTATAGTCGTCCAGATTTGATAGTGAAATGAAAAGCTAACAGAGAAAGATATTGATTGAAATGTGAGGCAATCTAAACTCTTCACCGTAGGATGAGGAAGATAAACTCTAGATTTTAAAGTTGCTTGAGTATCATTTTCTGTATGTACGGCGTTTCGAATACGTAGCTGTTTCAATGAGGCAAAAACTTGGCTTCTTGAAGTGATCGAGAGAGCAGAAGTCTTAATGACATTGAGTCAGTAGTCATGAGGCTGGATGTAGCTAACGAGCAGTTTGACAAGATTATGCGGTTTGTGAAATTTTTTGTCCTGGAACTCGGGAATGTGATTATACATCTAAGGTGAGTGATAAATGAGTGTTTACTAAATACAGGTTTTATGCATGATCTCTAAAAAACAATCATTATGATTTTACGTACGAGATATATTCAAATACAGCCCATCAATACCAAGCGTATAGAGCTGTTTCTAAATAATTATGGCCAGCGAATTCTTGTAGTTATGCTAAATTTATCTTTCAAACTACTAAAAGAAAACCAAATCAGTCAGTAAATTTGCTTTGGCGAGCGATTTAAGAACATGTCTATTTGGGAGCATGTGTATTTGATCATAACTAAAGAATAAAGCATATCTTGGAGCCTAACTCACTCATTAAATCGGGATATGTCAGATAATCTTGTCTGGCTTGAATACGTAAGCCTGCCTATCCCAATATGTTATTAAAGCTTCAACTAAATATGTAAATTTTCATCGTGAATGTACACATTACATGTTTGCAGAAGGACCATGCACTCCCATGTCTTTATGTTTGCTATTTCCGGCTGAATTCCCAACTTATGTAAACACAACTAAAAATGGTACTTTGTTTTTTTGATTTTGATACCATTGTCAGAACAAGTGTTCAATAAGGTACGTTTGAAACTTCAAAATGAAATGTTGCTGACTACCACACGTCTGCACCTATCAAAACAAAACAAAATAGTATATAATGCTGTTTACTCTGCAAACGTACTTCGCTTATGACAGGCACCTCACTGTAGCCTATTATCTAATACTGCGTACTAACTGTAGGGGGTCTAGTGCCCAGATCTGCGCGCAGTTCCTTGGTTATTGCATAATCAACATATAATGCTGTTTACTCTGTATAAGTTTTTTTATGCGTAAAAACGAAAGACTAAATTGTTATTTTTATTATTAAAACCTTTTTCTGCAGTTTTTTAGTTAAGTAGGTTGTAGATAGACTTTGTGTAAATGCTATACGCCATTGATTAAGTCCCTTAAGTGATATTTGCTCTTTCCTTTCGCAAGTTCCAAAATTTTTCAAGATTTGGAATCCTTTTCTTGAATTCGGGTTTTATCGTCGTGTGTAGAATCTACTTCGTCTCTTCTGCTTCTCCTTCTGTTTATTTATGTGAAAGATAAAACAAATCCACTTGACTTTATGAGCAGTATATTTAGCTTATTTAAACTATATTACTATATATTTAGCTTTTGTTCAGTTTGAAGATCATGGAATAGATTTAAAAGAATTTCTAGAATTTCTGTTTCGACAATGCAAAACTTCCATGAAATTAGTATCATCACAATAATATATAATGATAATTAAGTTGTCGGAAATGAAATCAATACAAAACAATAGTCGGTGGTCATAATAAACTTCAGATCTTGAACTTTCTTTATTATTTTATTCAAATTATTGATCAATTGAAGGCTGCATAAAAGCCCTGTTTATGGCAAAGGAATAAAGAATTATACTTCTTAATAATTGAGTAAAGAATTATATGCTTCTGATTTTGCTATTTTTGACTTCAGTCTATGGGGGCTCCTTTATTGTTTCATTATCTCTGCTGTATTGTTCAAAACTTGTTTTAAATATTATGCCTGCATTTTTGAAAAACACTCTTATTATACCTTTTCCAAAAAAATAACATCTCACAAATTTTTAACATAGACCTAAATGGTAAACAAGCTCAAACCAACATGTTTGCAACAGCAAGAATATTTAAGCGATGGTAGAATGATAAAGCAATCACACATCTATTATTTTGGATCTTGATAATTGATCATACAAGGTCATGAAACTATAAGAAAAAGTAATTTATTTTCTTTGAAAATGCGCTTGCCTTTTTTAGTGATATATTGCTTCAGCTGTCGTTTGTTCTGTGCACTTTCACCTACGTCTTACTTTGAAATTGACGTTTTTTTTTAAA